CGCCACGTACCGGGCAGACACATCCCCGTCCCCTCTCCCTTCTGCCTGGCCTGGCTACAGCCCAGGCATCTGTGCTCCGCTGACCTCTGAGGTGGACACTGGTATTACTTGAGGGTTTGTGATTTGCTTTGCTCTCCGATCATCAAAGCCATTCTCTCTGGGGTCAGCCGGTGTGGTGGTTGTCCCGGCAGGTCTCACATCGCTGACTCTGCAGTTTGAGTCCTGGGCCTGGCAGCTTGAAAAACATGCTGGGCACGTGTGCATGTGTGCCCAAAACCCCAATAGGGGAATGGAGAAGGGGGATTGCGGCATGGCCACCCCCAGGGGAGATGCCGGGGAGGGGACGTATTGCCTTCTCACCTCTTTTTCTCCCTCTGGTGAGTGCACATGTCCTATAGCAAACTGGGGGGAAATATTCTCTCAAGAATGATTTGTGGGGCTGGCCCACATGGCCTGGTGAGTAGAGAGCTGGATCCCACATGGCCGGTGCAGTTTGAATCCCACCCTGGCAGCACTTCAAGCCCCGAGTGTGTGCACACCCGAAACCCTGAGAGGGTGGAGAAATGGAGGTGGGGCTGCAGCGTGACCATGCTCCATCGGGGGTGTTCTCTTGGTCACCCTCTAGGAAGCGCACACACCTCTGGCAATACTTCTCATGGTAATTTTACAAGTGCTTGAGTTCTGTCCTCCCTGACCGCAATGCATTCAGAAGAAACAGTGGGGTTTTCTTTTCTTTTTTTTTTTTTTTTTTTTTGTTAGAAGATTTTGCTTAGGGCACATATACTTGCCAAAAAGAGAGAGACAGAGACAGAGACGGCGAGAGGGAATGTGACAAATCATCCCCCAGGGGCAATGGCCATACCATAATCCCTCCATTCTCCTCTTGGGATCTTGGGCACACATGCATACATGCCCGGCCTGACTTTCCAGCCACCGGGTCTGGGACTCAAACCATGGTTGGCCATGTGGGAGTCAGTGACATAGCTGCTATGCCACCTGCTAGTCCAGCACCAGAGTTCTCCAAAAGCAAGTGCGCATGTTCAGATCAGCATTGCGTCCCTGAACCTCGGAGGTAGAAGAGGTCACCCTTCAGTTCAATCTCTTCATTTTGGCCCTGAGAAATGAGGCTCACCTGGGCCCCAACAGCAAGCCAGGGTGGTGTTAGGAAGGGGCTCAGTCTCCATCCACCCAGGTCCAACACTGGAATGTGGACACACCTCTCTTGTGCCATTCAGAATATGCCAACATGGACACACGCTAAAGTGAAGATTCTCCTCCTCCTCCTTCTCCTCCTCTTCCTTCTCCTTATTCTTCTCCTCCTTATTCTTCTCCTTCTCCTTCTACTTCTCCTCCTTCTTATCCTCCTCCTTCTCCTCCTCCTTCTCCTTATTATTCTCCTCCTCTTTATTCTTCTCCTCCTCCTTCTCCTTCTCCTCCTTCTCCCTCTTCTCCTCCTCCTTCTCCTTCTCCTTCTTCTTCTCCTTCTCCCCCTCCTTCTCCTTATTCTTCTTCTCCTCCTTCTCCTCCTTCCTTCCTTCCTCCTCCTCCTTCTCCTTCCTCCTCCTCCTTTTCCTTCTCCTTATTCGTCTCCTTCTTCTCTTCCTTCCTCCTCCTTCCTCCTCCTCCTCCTCCTTCTTCCCCTTCTTATTCTGACCTGGGCCTGAGGTCCTGTATTCCCACTAATGAACTCCTAGGACAGCGCAATGTGTGGACCGTGGCCTCCCCTTGACTAGCCCAGGGCTGTTAACACAGAAACCCATCACCAAGTGGAGGTAGATATTAGCAGAAGGCTATTCTGGCTTGGGAACAGCAGATGACTCCAAAGCGGGCTCGCATACCTCAAGGACTTTAGCAGTCCTGCACTAAGTACCCCATGCTGTTGCAACGGGGATGGGCCACCACCGCACAATGCTGGCTTCAGGAAACACGTGAGAAGTTTATTATAGTTAGGAAACTGGTCAGGTAAGGCTTTCGGCCCTGTCTACCTAGTTGTCATGTGCCCTCCGGTCACAGGACTGGCATCCAAGATGCCCTGACCATGGCGCCCTGCCACACGCACCCGTCTCGTGAGAAGCTGCTGGGCCCTCAGCCTCAAGTTATTTTCTTTGTCTTTTTTCTTTTTTTTGAGACATTTTTGCTATAGGGCATGCATGTGCACTCACTGGAGAGACAGAGAGATAGAAAGTGAGAACTCACCCCCCAGTGGAATGGCCACACCATAATCCCTTCTCCTCCATTCTCCTCTCAGGATTTTGGGCACGCATACACATGTGCCTCACATGAGTTTCAAGCTTCTGGGTCTAGGACTCGAACTGTGGTCTACCATGCTGGAGTCTAGCACATAACCACTATGCCACCTGTTGGCCCCGGTACATGTTAATTTCACAATACTTAAATAGGGGCGTTTCTGATGCCAGCAGGTAGCATGGTAGTGAAGGCTCTGGATCCCACATGACCAACTGTGGTTCAAGTCCTAGACCTGGCGGCTTGAAAATTAAGCCGGGTGCATGTGCATGCATGCCTAGTCTTAAGAGGAGAAGGAACTGTGGCACAGCCACCCCGGGGAGTCGTTTCTCACTTTTCCTTTCTTTCTCTTTCTGAAAAGTATACGTGCCTTATGCTTAAAAACTAAGAAACAAACCGAAAGAGGAACAGCAAAAACCCTGAAGAGAACGATGGTAGCAACTGGCCGTGACTGCAGTTATGTGACTGGTTTTTTCTCTAGGGATATCTGTGTTTTCAGGCCACAGTGACGCATGCGTAACTGAAAACACAGGAGGGGAAACTGGGGGGGGGGGACTGAAAACACAGGAGGGGAAACTGGGGGGGGTGGGGTGGGGCAGTGCTTCCTTCTACATCTATCCACACGGTCTTGGCATCTGGAGGTGACATCTCTGTGAGGAGTGACCTACAGCTCAGGTGGTTGCTCTCATGCAGCCTGTCTCCTTGGGCACCTGTCCCTGCTCCCCACAGCCCCAGCGCTCTGCACGAAGCCACCACGCATCTGCACGGGAGTTTTAAGGTCTGGAAGGGCGTCCCAGCACAGGATGCTGCTGCTGAAGGCTGTGGCGTGCTTGCGAGTCTCGCAGCCTCTGAGGCAGCGTCTCGGGGACTGCTGGTGCTTTATTTTGCAGGCTGCTCTTCAGGAAGCCAGAGAAGCGCGCATACGCAGGTCTTCGATGAGATTTCTTGGCATTGAATTTGGTTAGAAGGGAAATTAAAAGAAATCATCCCATGTTAGTAAAAACAAATAGTTTTAATTCCTACCTTTTTAAAGGCAGAAAGATAGTATTTCTTCTTGTCCACTCTGGAGAAAAGGAAGGTTGTGTTAATATCACTGTGTATGTGTTGTCAGGGCTAAATTGCATCGGAAGGGGCCTTTGCGTGGTGGTTCTTATGTAGATGAACTAGTAATAATAATTATGACCATGGATGTTGAGCATCCAGGTGAAGTTTTTTGTCTGTAAAGGTATTAGCTTCTAGAACCTTCCAGAGGCCTATTTCTTAGAGCATGACATTGGTAGAAACAAAAGGTCCAGTCACGAGAGTGACACAGCAAGAACCACCATGAAGGTCCACCCTGAAGCCCTGGGCTGCGGCATGACCTTGAGGCCGGGGTCGCACGAGACTCTACCATTTTGATATGCAAATGTATTTGAGTGAATCAAATGTGTATTTTATACAATTTAAAAATAATGTGTCAGCGGAAGAGTTACGACGTACCTTTCTATTTTTCTGTGCAAAAATACTTCAGGGCTTGTCTGGCGGCCGGTAGTTTTACCTGCGGCGTAAAGTATCTGCTACGTGCTTCTGTAGAACAGCTGCTCTGAATCTTAAAGTGTGTTTGCCTTTGAGTTGGGGTCTTTGGATTAAGTGAAATTTATACGGATCAAAATCTGCTTCTATTCCCTGTCTTTCAACATTAAAGGCAACGCTGAACTTCTAATATCTCTTACAAAACGGGAAATACAGTTTTCTGGTCGGTAATCACTAGAGAGTGAAAGTCCTCGACTCCATTGTTTGACAGTTTCACGACAAAGTGCGCGGAGATCGGTACAAGCCAGGCACCTGTGGGAGAAAAAGCGCGAGGTCGTCATGGTAACGGCCAGGCGGGGCCGTGTCCACCCTTTGCAAAGCGGTGTGTCCCACAGTGAGGACCGGTGATGGGGACAGAAGGCGGAGCGAAGGCGCACGGCAGGTGTCACGCCCCGCCACCTGTTCGGCCTCATTCTAGGCAAACTTCAGTGAGACCTTTAGCAGCTCGGAGGAACCGTAGCAAAGCCCGTCCCTCCACGTCCGCTTTCTCCCTGTGTCCAGTCCAGCTGACGTAGGAGGGCACTTGCCGTCTGAGCTTCCGGTGTCTCAGCATTCCATTGCTTGTCACATTTCTGCCCTCTAGGTGCCAGCCTGGATTCACGGGAGCGAGATGTACTGAGAATGTGCCCATGAAAGTCCGAACCCAAGAAAGTATGTCACAATAACCTGGCCGCTCTCTCCCCAATGTACAGCGACAGTCTCTACCGCTTGGTGCGTTTACAGCTCAAGGCCGCTGACTCCCCGTGGTCTCATCGTGGTCCCACTGGGGCGCAAACCCGTCCAGCAGGCCTTGCCCAGCTGGCTGTCCGCAGGGCCCGAAGTTGTCCGCCTGAAGGGACGGGCCGGCAGGATGGCCTGTGACACTGCTGACATGGCGGCAAGACAGCCCCAAACCATTTCCTTCCAGCGTTCTGACCACGGCTGTCGAACGCAAAGCCGAGCACCCCAGGTCCCATGCTGGCTCCCTTAGGAGAAAGCAGTCCCTTCTGAGCTGGCTCCTGCCACGCACACCCAGCCCCGCCGGGGTGGGCAGAGTCCGGACCACGATGAGGACAGGGGTCAGCGGGTCCTGAGGGTGAGCCTCCAAGGCAGTCAGAGGCACTGACGGAGCTCCTTTCTCGCGTGTACTCACCTCTTCTCTGTTTCTCTGTGTTTTCTACCATTGTTTTTGTTTCTTCTCTCAGGTGCCCAAATGAGTTTACTGGTGACCGCTGCCAGAACTACGTAATGACCAGTTTCTACAGTACGTCCGCCCCTTTCTGTCCCTGCCTGGCTAGGAGCATGCTCAGTGGGCCCTGCTTTCTTGTCGCTGCGTCTCCCTCAGCTCCACCTAGAGCTAGCCGGTCTGCCCGGTCTAACCGACCACTCTTCTGTCGCATGAGGACATTAACACCGCGGCGTGGCCTCCTCCGCCGGGGGCGGGCTCGCAGACGCTAGTAGGTGTGCCAGGCTCTGGCGTGCCCCAGTCGCTGTCGGATCCTGTGATACAAACGGTAGCCACGTCAAGCAGTGGAATATAATAAAGGCATTTAAAAGTCTCACTTTCGTTGATAAAAGTCCATCCTCTCTGTACAATGGTGCCTGAAGAGGGTGGCACCCGGCCGTCAGCAGCTTGCACGGAAGGGATGGTAAGTGCAGCCTGCCCAGAGGTGCCGGTGGCACCAATCACGGCAGAGGGAGCACGGTCTCCCTTCACCACAGACAGTTTGCACTTAGGCATTTTTTAAAAAGCACCGAGTAGGAAAATGGGAAGCCAACATTTCAGGGTAAGTGAGAAAGCGGCTGCTACTCGTGTGCGCAGGGACTAGTTTATACCACTTACCTGCGCTCTCTTTCTTCGCGCTAGTTTCAGGGGTGGTTCTTTTACTTTTTGAAGGATTTATTACTTTAAAATATAACAGTTCAACCCTCCTGCAGAGCCGGGACACTCTGATGGCCTTCCGTGCTTCGTGAAGTGTTGGACACCATTACCAGGAGGTCCAGTTCACTGTGCCCCTCACCACGTGGATAGCTAAGCCATATAGTTGTCCATTTATTGTGAACTGGGGTTATCGCTATGGATTCTGAAGTTTTCCAAACAATGTATATAAAATCGATTCCGAATAGTTTCCCACGTAGACTGTAGTTCGGAGAATTTCGCCCATGAGGTTCATACGAAATGTCTTAGGGAGTGTGAGGGTGCCCTGCCTCTACGCCACTCCACCTGTGGCCTCCGAGCAGCCTTAGCACGCAGGAGGTGCAGCCCCGAGTCCTTGCTTACAAAGGCGGCGGCGTGCAGCTGACAGCTGCTCACCCTGAAGACAGCCCGCAGCGCAGCGGCAGCTTAAACTTAGACCTCTAGCGCCCACCCCCCAGTGAGGAAGCCCATCATGTGGGGCGCAGAAGGGGTCAGAGAGGTTCTCGGCCTCCTGCATGTAGAGAATGCAGCTCTGCAGCCCCTTGGCCATCCTACGAGTCAGCAACGGATTCTCCAATGCCCAGTCCGTACCGAGCAAGAGGGTACTCAGGAGTCGGACCGTGTTTCCATGGGCGACGTAACCATTTTCTCTTGTGAAAAATCGGTGAACTAGCCTTATTCAACTTTCAGACGGACATCATCATCTTATTTACTGTCGGTGGCAAGCGGGCATCTAGTGAGAGGTGCCTGCTCTCTGCACGATGCCTAAACGCACGTATGTCCCTCCGAAGCTATCCGGAGCTGTGGTCAAGGTAGCCAGGGTAGAAAGGAAGATTAGACGCGAGAAAGCCATGTACTTCCTGCACTAAAGCCATTCCTTTAGTTTGTATCACACTGACAGAAAAGCACGCTCCTGTGACTTCACAGACCCCGTGGAAGCGCATGTTAGAATTTAAGGACACTCTGAGCGCCCGCAGAGTCGCCTGGGCCGTGAGGAGAGGGCGTTAGAGAGGAAGGCAGGGCGGGCTGGCTGCGCTGTCCTGTCGGCTGCCATGCCTCGGCCAGGACCACATGAAAGGCGCGGGTGTGGTTCCAGGGCCAGCCCGGAGGCCGGCGTGGGGCCGTGTGCTGTGATCCCAGCAGCTCGGCCGGCTGCAATGGGAGGAGCTCGGGCGCGAGCTGGCCGGCAGCGTAGCGAGACCCTGTGTCAGAGTTTCCCGGGACAGCGGTGCAGAGATGTTTTCAGGGGCGCTGTTGGTCCGTTTTCTCCTTTTCAATTGCACTCTGTGTTTGTGAAGCTCAGAGCATGAGTCTTTGAATAAGTTGCTCAGGAAGCTTTCAAGGCTGCGTTTGGAAGACTTCCAGGAAAGCAGGGTCCTAGTGGCCCGCGGTGGCTTACAGAGCCACTTGCAGTGATTGCGCCTCCTGTCCACAGAGCAGGCGCCCTGGGGCTGTCCCCGCAGGGCCAACCTTCCGACTTCCATGTCTTGGTTCTCAATTTCTCTCTCTGCAAACCCACATAGAAGGCCAGCAGGCAGGTTTTCACAACTCTAGTAACGATGAAGGCTGATTCTGGAGAGAAGATGCGGCCGCAGTGCCCACTGAGAAATGGCATTGTTTATTGCAGATGTCAAGTCTGAGAGGAAAGGTAGCCCGCAGCTCCAAAGACAGGCAGTTAACTTGCCAAACGCCATCTTCAGTCGGAGAATTGCAGCCTAGAGCGTAGTTTTTAAAAATTGTTCACTAACACGTATCTGGTTAGGGTTGCTGCAGTGGTCAGAATGTCCAATGGGGCATTTATTGGTTTATAAAAGCTGATTTGAACTAGGAAAGAAAGGAACAAATATATATTTTATAAGGCAGCCGTTTGCCTTGAAATGAAACATTTATAGTGCCTTCTAGGAAAATCTTGTCATGGTTAGTCAGCTTCACATCTGACCTGCCTTGACACAGTTTCCACTGCAAAGGACCGAGCCCTTAGTCTGTGCTGCGGGCCGTGCACACGTGCGTGTCAGCCATCCGTCAGTGACTGGACTTTTCAGAGGGAAAAGGGAAACGCACCCACACCCCAGTCAGCGGGGCCCCGGCCGAGTGAGTCATACCTCCACGAATACACAGGGACTGACTTGCAGCAGCTCACGGCACAGAATGTGTCAGGAGAGTACCGTTTTAGAATGGTTAGACACATTCCCAAAATGAGAGAACTCGGTAGACAGCCTCGAAAGCCGTCCGAAGCACGCGCGCTGGTGCAGCTGGCATCTGTGCGGCTGTCTAAACGCTCCAAAGCCGCCGAAGCAATTGGACTTACCAACTCCAGCCGTAAGGAAAGTGCGTGGAGGCCCCAGAGTGTTAGTGAGCTGTCAGGTCATCCCGTTACAGGACGTGGATGGGGGAGTGGGGGAAGGTACCCACATTTCACCAAGGTAAGTCCACATTAGCTCAGACACCCATCTGGTGCCGCTCAGAAACGGCGCGGACAGAACTCAGCATGGTTTTCCGAGTGCGGAGTTTGAATACCACCCGTAAATCTTCCAGACGAGCCGCATAAACTTGCCCGAGACTTACAGTTGAGAATAAAATCTCAAATGCCTTCAAATTTTAACAGAAGCCGTAATTGCATGGAGGTATCATTTTGGAAAAAGGAAGTTCTATTATTCTTCCCTCTAATGCAATTGAAAATTCTAAGTCAACCTCCACATTAATCAGTTCCCGAGCAGCTACGAAATCCTAAGGCAGAGGATTAGTAAGCCAATATTTAATAGTTTTCAGAGACTCTTAGGTTTAAATTAATGTTTTATATTGCTTAGGGCATAGCAGGAAACCACATGTAGAAGAGGAAACTGAATTGTTTACAGTAATCATCATGTTTTGAATTATTAATTTAATCTGAAAACTAGCGTCGAGGCAGCTGTTCGGTAGAAAGCAGTGACGTGCAATGCCCCTAAGCCAGCGCTGATTAAACAGCAGGACGGGGTGTCTGTGTGGAGCCCCGACTCCTCGGAGCGGGCAGAGCAGCGGCAGCTGCATGTGTGCCGCCCGCACCCCGTCAGGGCTGGCCCAGAGGACTGTCCAGGTTTAAGTGCCCGCCTCCCATCCAGTGACTCACAACTGGGCTGCCTGATAAGAATGCTCTCCAGAGAAAGGAAGCCGTAGTTAGGCTCACAGGCTTCCTGCGGGCCCGGAGACGCGGTAACACAGGTGCATGAGCATGCTGCTAATTCTGTTGGAGACCTAACCAAGCTTTCTACGCAACTAACGTGAGCCGTCAGCAGTGTCCACGTGGGCGTGGAAGAGTGGCTCTGGAAGGATTGCTGTGGACAGCTCCTCCATTTTAACCCTTAAATTATTGTTGACTGGTAGGAGGAAAAGGCCGGAGACTGAGGGGGCCTAGGAAGGAAAACTGGGTCACAGCCTCGTGGAAATGGGGAGGAAAAGGACTGCCAGCTTTCTTGGAAAGAGATTTTTTTCATTTGATATTTCAGATTGGCTGTAAGGAAAGCAAATGGGGGCGGGGTAAATGTCCATTGGCCAAGATGAGTGTCGCAGACACAGACTCACCCGGACTGGAGTCAGCCACTCTCCTGAGAACTCTGTAGGCAAATTCACTCCGCCGCCAGCTTCTCGTTTGTAACAACCTGAGCCTGTCTGGCTGAGCCCGCTGGGCCCAAGGCGGAAGGGCCCTGCTCTGCGCGGCCCCTCGCAGAATCCTGGCTGCCGCACATACTCTGTACCACTTACTGTATGTGTCTATGCTGGGCATTACCTAGGTACAGTTTTAACCTGGGAAGCTTTGTTTCCTTAAGAAATGGCAGGTTTTAAAGTCTGTTTCTTGGTAACGTCCCAGGAGCGTAACTCAAAGTCCAGCTGAGGACAGGACAGCCCATGGCCACAGCCCACCGGGGTCTGTCCCAGCCGTCACCTCTTTCTGCTGTCGGCTGCGGGAGCTCAGGGCTCCGCGGTGGTGCGGGTCACCCCAGGGGTTAGCTCAGAAGCCTGTGGGGGGTGAGAAGTTAACTTGCCCGGGATCACCGGTCAATGGCAGAGGCAGGACCTGAACAGGATGGCTGTGGCACACGCCTCCTCCCCGTCTCTGTAGAAGGGGCCTTCTGCCCACACAACACCGCTCCAGCACGTGTTCCCAGACCGCCCTGGCCCCGACGGGGTGCCCGCCCCCATACACCGGCCTCTGCACACGCATGGAAGCCATCCTGGTTTCAGGAATGAAAGGCGTTCCTGAGCTTTCCCTCGGAACCCCGTTTCCCCTGCTCCTCACTGGGGCCGGCAGACTCTGGGGCCCTGCGACCGGGGTTTCCAGAGAGCAGGGCCGAGCTGCGGCTGGCTGTCCCGCTGCGCCCCTGAGCAGCTCAGGCCAGAGGTAATCTGTGGCTGCCGTCCGAGGGAGCAATGGGTCACTGCTGACTCAGGAACAGCGTCCCCCGGCCCCACCATGAAACGCCACCATTTCGGGTTTGGAGAAGTGAGACCCAGCTGCCCTGAGCCCACGAGGCCCCACGGCGGCACCGGAGTGCTGGCCCATGCCCCAGGCCTGCCCGGTGTGTTGAGCGAAGGTCTGTTGCTTTTTCTTCATGAAACCACTTTCAAAGTGGCAAAGAAAGGGAGGGAGGGGACACAGCCACAGGGAGCAGCCGAAGAGCAGGTAGGACTGGAGCGGGTGCCCGCCCCGAACCCACGCCCATGCTGCTGATCGGACGGTGAACTCGCTGCCGGCCCGGCCTCTGCTCCTGCCTCTGCCATTGTGCCACTTCGGGTCAGAAAGGTTAACCTCCTGGGAACACTGCCCCGCCCTTCACCAAGGGAACGGAGTGACAGCACACGCCTCTTCCCACCGTCCCGTGTGCCGGTCCCCCTCAGTCAGGCCTTTAAGGGTTAAGATGACAGGCTGCGCGCACCCCTCCGAGCTCCGCGCCCTGGGCACTGCTGCGGCGCGCCGCGACCTGGCAGGTGCACGCAGACAGCCGCGGCCGTGCGATGTGTCGGGAGCGCGGTGTACTGCTCTTTCTGAAACTTTTTCCCTTTCTCTCCTTTTTTGTCAACTTTCTGCAATGGCAGAGCACCTTGGGATTGAATTTATGGGTATGGACGAATCCTCATTCCTTTTGGCCTGCAGAGTTTAGAGCCTAAGAGCTGAGATGTCCCCCGCCCCACTTCTACCTTCCAGCTGCTCACTAATCTCCTTCCTCTTTAGAAGGGGCCATACAGCCATAACAGTCCTGCCCTGCGACCCCGGGTAGCTCACTGAGACGCCAGAGCCCAGCAGCCTTAGGGCCCACGTGTCCCCCACGCAGACGAAACCACTTCACTGCCGCCCGTCACATACACCTCCCTGCGGCCCGCCGACCACCCAGCTGCGCTGCCCGGGACAGCCAGGCCCGTCTGAGTGTGGGGCGCGCCCCAGGCAGGCGAGCCAGGGGCTGAGGTTCAAATGCATCTGCTTAACAGACGCCCGATTTGACCTCCAGTACAAAACGGCCTCTCGCACCCCAGAGCCCGCCCGACAGCGCGGCAGTGTAGGCGTGGCCCCGAGTGACTCCGGTTTTCTGGAGATACTCCAGATACCCGATTGGTGGTACTGCAAGGGAGCAGTCAGAACGGGAAGCCGTGTGCTGTTTCAGGCAAAGACTCTAGCACTAGTGGGATTAACTTTGAGTCCCCGAGCTTGTCCAGAAAGCAGTCGCGTAGATGAGCACACTGAAAACAGAGGAGAGAGACTCCCCAAGGCGAGACTCGGTGCTCCTTCCGAAGCCTCCATTCCAGGTAGTTGGGAAGACAGGCCCGTCTCTGAGGTGCAGGCGGCCAGAGGCAGCCCTGGGCGGGCCAGCCAGCGTCTGCGCACCACAGCCTGGGTGCAGTTGGGGCAGCAGGGCGCCATCCCCATCCCGAGGCCCGGTGACAGGGAGGAGGACCCCGCGGCTGCTGCTGGGGGGGGAGAGAGGGCCGCAGAGTGGCCCCG